CTGTGTTGATTAACAGTGTGCGTGTGTGGTGTGTGTGCCGGCTTTTTAGGACTAGAACTGAAATGATCAGTTTACGATCAGTGGCATACTGGTGAAAAGATGTTTCATCTAAGTCTAGAAGCTCTCAGGGCAGGTAGGAAGGATGATAGAAGGTGCAAAGGATAGTGTAAATTACAGAAATGTAAGTGGGTTAATTCCACAAGGGACTTGCTGAACATTTGGGATAGAGAGAGAATTTCTCTGCAAATCCATCCCTGTCTCCTCATCTTCACATCCAGTGTCACAAACCCTTCTGATTCATGTCGACTTGATGAGCTGGAAGAACCTGCTGAGCCTGTGATAGCTTCGGCCAGAGGATTAGCAGCTTCTTTCCCTCTTCAGTTCTGTTTTCAGACTGGGATACATCTTTACTGAAGATTAGCAGCCTGGTGGGTTGGGGAAATTAGTTTTTACAAGGGCTGCAAACTGGAAAGCACATACTCAGAGGTGTGAAAATGAGATGGGGAGGTAGTGACTTCTTAATGAGTACATCCCATGGCCTCAGGCCTTGGGGCTTTCCTGAGGTTAGGTGAGGTGAGGTTACTTCAGAATAACAGGTGATGTGAATTTAAAGGGAAAATCCCAGAATAATTCCTAATGTGGCACTCTTGTCCCCAAATAAGGGTCCCTTTTCTGATTTAATTTAATGCAGTTCCAATATATGCAGTTCCAATATATATGGCTAATAATCCATGAGCTATTTCATGGCTCTTATTTTGGTCTTTCCCCAGGTAGAGAAGCTGGTGACAGAGCTGGCTGAATTGGCTCATGGTCCCCTTCGGTGTCTCATCAGAGGAAGTGTCCTGGCCAATTCCTGCCAGGGCATTGGCTCTCCTCCCTAGGGCTATGCCAGTGACTCTGCCCAAAGCCCACTGTGATCACTGCTCTCCTCCCTTGGACCTGAGCTTGCTCTCACCTCTGCTTTTCCCTGTTGTGAATCTGGCAAGTCAGGGCCGATGTGACCAGGGTGTGTGCTGTGAGCCAAGCTGGCAGAACCCCATGTGCTGCTCCAGCTTCACTCCCTCTGTGCTCCTGCCAGCCAACACACGCATTCACCTTATGTTAATGAAACAGTGACTTGGGAAGAGGTCTTTTTAGGAGCTACATTGGCTTTTCCCCTTTAGTGCACCGTTTGATACGGGGAGTGTGAGAAGGAAAACCTTGAAATACCTGAAGCATCCCCCAAAAGGAATGGCAGCTGTATATATGGGCACTGCTCATGTATTGGGAGGAGCATGGGCTGACAATACGTTTTTTTTCCTTCTATGCACTCAGGTTTTCTTGTGACCTCTCCCTGCTTGATTTATTTGGCAGTTTCTCTCCGTGGGAAGGCAGCGGGGTGGGTGTGTTACAGCCTGTGAACGTTCTGCTCTACGCCAGCTTATTTGCATTCACTTTTATCTGATGAATATACCCGTTGTGTTTCTAAACGTCTGGAGTAATTTCTGGTTGATGTAGCACTACCTTGTACTGCGAACATTCTTCTGTGCCATCTTCAAATAAAAACTTAGATTTGTCAAGGTTGTTTTTCTCCCAGAGGAAGTGAAATTAGTACGAGGTTTTGTTTGGCTTATGTGGATGTTCCAGGAATGTTTGCCATCTGATCTGCTTGCGTGTAGATGAGAGCAAAGGCAGATATTTATTTTTTTTAAACCGTATGTAGACAGCTGAGTATTATGAATGAGTTTGTTATTCTATAAGGTGCTTATGATGTTATCTCCTCTTTGCCTTTGTCTTTAGGGAGAACTCTTTAACCACTTCAGGGATTGACTACATTTGATTAGAGAGTAGTTTGCCTTTTGAATCCATTACCCTGGATGAAAATCTGTAAGTTTATTCCGATTTCTGATGCAGCTGGAATTGCACCATGTGTGTATTATAGGAATGAGGTCCAAATGCAAAGCTATTTCATAAAAGCCCATTTGAACTGATGAGTGTCCTTTTCTTACAGAATTATAATACTGGATTGCAGGGATGGAAAAGAGCCTGCAGGCTCATCTTACCCATGGCAGCTTTCAAATAGTGCCCTTTCCCTTCTGCACCCTTCCTCTCAGACCCTTTTTCTTTTGAAACTTGAAAATTCTGGCTCCTCCTTTCATATAAAAAACCAAAATTTTCATAGTTTGGTTGATTTATCCTGTTGTGATAGCCACAGATTGTTCCCCTGTCTTCTGCCCTGCCTGGAGACCTTATGCCTGGGAGATGAAGAAGTGGTGGGGAGTGCTTTCCTTCTGGTCTCACATAGCCAAGAGTAAGCCAGCTTTGGGAAGGGGATAGGCTGGGTTGCCTGACAGGAGGACTTGCAAGTCTTGGTTTTCATTGTTCTTTGAAATCATAAAGCCCTTTCTTTCTCCTAAACACAACCAACATGATTGTTCCCTGGCCAGTGCGGTGTCTCTGTTCTGAAATAGTGAGCAGCTTTCCATGGGAAATGAATGCACAGACTGATGTTCTCAAAGTTCAGTGTTATGACATCTTCCTGCAAGCGTGATGGGGCAATGAGGTCATGATGGGGAGGAAGACTGGGTAGATAAGTGCAATGTACTCACAGAATCCATCTCCTCTGAACTGCTTCCATGAGCTCTGATTTAATCTGCTAAGCTTTTACTTAGGTTATCACTTCTCTGTAGGAGCATAGTGTTTCTGAAGTGCCTGACTGACAGGGAGATTTAAGGGAAGAAAAGGCAGAGCCAGCTTCCTGGCAGTTTCACTAATTGCAGCTTATTATAAATTTAACAGCTGAACTGTCACTTTCCTGAAGGTGTGTGATCACCACAACCTTCTCTTGGATTCTGCACTGGCTATAGAAAACTTTAACTTCTAAGGTGCTAAGCTACTGTCGTGCATTTCATCACTCAGTGAGGTGTTCCTTGGTTTACAATTTGCAGGCTTCATTATTCCTTTTATCACATCTTTGATAATATTGGACTGTGGTCTAAAATATATCTTTGGTGTGTTTTCTTCATGTATTCGCATTTACTGAATGATTATTGTGGGAGGTATGGAAGTTTATTCTTTGCAGAGTCTGCTTCCAGTGAGTGAAGCTTTTGCCTTTCAATAGAGCAAGTCATTTTATTAGTTTTTTCTCTACAGATGTCTAATTTGATAGGCACAGTAGGGCTGAAATGATACCTTTTTCACTTGAAATTTCTGGGTATTTCAGAGCTTCTAAAATAAATTCTGTAACTTGAGAAACCAAACATTTGTAAGTAGTTCATCTGTCTGCGGTAAGGTTTTTAAAGAAGAAATATACATATAGCACTTTCCTTAAAGTTTTTGGAGAGCATCCTGATTTTTTGGGGTTGGTGGTAACTTTTCCTCCTGTTCTGGTTACTCTCTATATCATGCAATCCTTGTATCTTCAGACTTAATTTACACTGTCAAACCCCTACCTCTCTGAAATCAAACTTAGATTTTATTTTGGCTGCGTTTCTGTTGTGTGATTTAGCCAGAGGACAGCACATCTGGGCAGCTGTGCTTACACCTTTACCTGTCAACTGGCCATTAAAAAGATGTTTTGACCCTGAAAGCTGATTCTGTATGGTGTGTGTTGGCCGGCTGGTTCCAGAGTCACCTTTGCCTTGTTCTTGCCCTGTTTATTCCCATGCAAAACACAATTTCAGTGGTACCAGCCACCTGGCCCTCCTTTGCCTTGATCCTTTGGATGAGACTTTCGGTGGTAGGAAATGGCAGGGCAGGCAGGAAATTGTGTGTTTATTTGGAAGTGATGATGCAAAAAGAAGGAACCTCTGAAGCTGAGGAATGTCTAAGAAAGCAAATAAAAACATCAGCACAAAGGTCTGAAGTTAGCGGGGGACAGTGGCAAGGAAAGCTCTTTCTCTGGTAAATTTAATTCACACTTTTTGCTAAATGTAAATGATAGCTTAGGAAAAAACTGCTTGGAATACGTAGTAAATGATGTTGCCAGGATACTTCCTGATCATGTTAATTAAACTGTCCCACAGATTTGGCTTAATTACTGCATAATTTGCATATTGGAAGTGGTGGTACGCATTACTAAAGAAAGCTCATATTCTGTTAGGAGAAAAAAACATTGTACATGAATTAATTTCGAGGGGAAGGAGTTCTAGACTCACATAATGATGTATCTTGAAAATAAAGTTGAGATTTTTGATAATGGCCTGACATATATCTCAGCCCTTTTTGCAAGATTACATTTTATGCTTGCTTCTCTAAGTTCCTTAGAGACCTCATCCCAACAGCTTTCCTCTTGTTGGCTATTTCTTTAATTACAAGAACCACTGTTGCTTTCAAGGTTGCTGGTAGTGAAGCAGATTTTAGTTAACTTGTGTAAAGTGACAGAATATTTGTCGTGAGGCCCACATTTATGCTGAATGTTGGTGATGCGCTTCACCACGCTCCCGAGTTAAACTCACTATTAAGCTATCAGTTTCTTCTTATAGAATCACAGAATTGTGGTTTTGTTGGTTTTAATTTCTGACATGTCTCTGTCATCCTACTTGGGGAGGCCCAAGGCCAAACGGAGAAATGGTGAAATATCACTTCAGTCTTCCAGTCTGAGGGCAGGTGTTGCTGATGGACGCCCTGCTTGGAGGCCTTGAGCTATCCCTGGTGCCTGGTGGGGTGGCAGGAGAAGCCATGTGCCTTTGTAACACTGAAAAAGAGGGGTTTGCATCTGCATTTCTGCCAGGGTAATTTTATAGCTCCTGTCCCTGCTGTTGCTTTGAGTTCAGTAACGTTTCTGCAGGCGTGTTTAACTGCAGGACTGTGACAGTGCTTTGGATAAAGAAGGCAAAACATCAAAATTCCTGCATGACATAAGACAAGATTGAAACTGGTTTGTTTTGGGAAAAAAAATCTTCTGAATACAGCAATTTCCCAATTTAGACTGCTAAGTGCTTTGGATGATATTGTTGCTAGGATATGCATTTCCAGTGTGGCTTCTACTTTTTAATGCTTTTTGATGTGTTTTTAAACAGGTGATCATAAACAGCACAATCACACCTAACATGACCTTCACTAAAACGTCGCAGAAGTTCGGCCAGTGGGCAGACAGCAGAGCAAATACTGTGTTTGGTTTGGGCTTTCCTTCCGAGCAGCAGCTGACAAAGGTAATGGGATGCACTGAATTTTGGCAAATCTGTCTTGTTTCTTATTAATGAAGAACTGCATATATCTATCCCACTCCTCCAAGCTGCATGCTTCTGCAAGTCCTCTTCATCCATGCAAGTTGCCTACCTCCTATATTTACCCAATGTCTGTATATGCAGGAGCAGGCAGTATTACAAACTCTGTAGCCAAAACTACAAATTAAATCTGACCACTGATAATGGTACTAGGAGATGATCTTGACGGTATCTTGCCCAGCATTGCTGAAAGCAGATGTGTTTTCAGATATTTACAGAAATAACCTGAACTCTATAGTATTTTTTTGGCATCTCCCTGGCTTATGTGCTCATTTCAGCTGAAAGTGGCACCAGAAGCAAAGGGAGCCACTGATACGCCAGGACTGTTGGCATTAGGGTTGCCTAATGTGTCTGGGGGGAAAGAGTTGCTGTCTCAGCCTCAGAAATGTACATTTTGATGACGTGCCCCCACTGGTAGCTAACTGAGGTAAAGGAGTTACCAGCCCCCAGGGCTTGCAGGTGCCCTTGTTTTGCAGATACCACTGCAGTGGTATCTGCAAAACTGCTCTCAGGAGGCTCAGTAAACTGATCTGGCTTAAAATAATACTGCATTTTTGGCATTTCAGCTCAGTGATGTGATTTGCAGCCCTGACTCAGAGCTGCTTTATCACAGACCTGAGGAGGTGGCAGTGAGTCGTGGCAGTGACGGGAGGATGAGCAGCCAGGGAGGTCTGACTCCAGGTTTGCTGGCAAAGCTGCCTCTCAAAGGGCAAACCTGGCCATGGGCTTGGTATTAATGCAACACTTCCCTGGCCCAGGGACTGGCTACAACAGCACACTTGTAAAGTCTAGAGTGCCTCTTGTCATGAATAACCAGCAGTTTAAAATACATCCTCTGTCATTAGATTAGTGCTCTTGCCGAGTGACAAGTAGCTGAGATGTTTGGTCATGTAGTAAAAAAACCCTACTTATCTAACACATAGTTGACACCTGAAGAATGGCTACTTGGCACTGGGTTTTGTCAGTTACCTAAACACTGTGTCCTTGGGCCTGGCACGCAGACTCTCATGTTGTCATCCTCTTGTATGCTTTGATAAGAAGAGAATCAGGATAACAAGATGTTTTTGTAGTGTCTAAAATAGCAAAGGCAGACCATTGCAAAAGGAGGACTTTTTAATCAACTGAATTGCAATAGGAATTTATTTTGCTATTTATAGGAATTTATTTATACTAATTTTATTTTACTATTTTACTAAATAAGAATTTGTTGGGATTTTGCAATTTCCAGAGAATCGTAATTTTTGCAAGTATTTCTTAAAGCATATTTTGCTTTTCATGATAAATTATTTTTGGATTTGGGATGTCCATAAAGGTGCCTTGGCAACAATCTCAGACCACCCAATAAATCACATGCAAAACTGTTCTTTTAAAAATGAGGTGTGGTGCTGGTTATGTTTTATGATGTTTATGCAAGTGTAGGGGACTGCTCATGTTCTTTGTCAAAGAGGTGTTGGTAGTAACTAATATGTAGTATCAGAATATGGGAGGATTATGGCAGACCTGGGGGAGCAGCTTGTTTTGAGTAACGGATAAGCATGATACAACGCAACCACTGGACACCAGATGAAAGAATTTAGCACCATTAGATAGTAATTTGTGACTGAAGTCACATATCTGCAACTGTATAGGTGACCACAGGGTGCTGGCTGAGGTTAAACCTACGCCACGTGCCACATGGAGCCAGTGGTGTTGAGGCTGGCTCAGAGGATGAGAGGTATAATGAGGCATAAGAATCATTTGGAGGTCCTTGCACTCCATTCAGAGAGGTTTTACCATATTGTCAAAAAATGTCCTAACATGTGCTCAGAATAAATTTAATGCTGGTATCAGAAAGCATCTCTCTAATGTTCACGTGGCCACACTAGAGCCAAGCTGTAAAACATGCCATGTGGGCACAGGGCCCTTGGCACCAGCTGTGTTTCTCTGTAGATTGGTTTGCACATCTGTTTGCACTGCACGATCTGTTGAAGAGCACACTGCCCACAGTACAGCCTTCTACTTGCAGGGAAAGGTTTCCAAATCAGCCGAAAGACTTTTTCTTGTCAGAATATCAAAGAGGAGCTTAAGGGGAGCACTTCTGAAAATGGCACAAGATGGTCTATCAAAAATAACCTAATAATCTGACAGTTACCTACCTGGAAAATATAAGAAAATCTGTTTTATTGCTACGATGCAAATCAGTGGGACAAAGATACCTCTTATCACCCATGCTCCTCAGTTTAATTATTGACCCGTTAGTAAGAAAGATCAGAGATGGTGAAGAGATTACAGAAGTATAAATGTATTAGGAATAGTGAAATAAAATTTCATTTTATATTGATATCATTATACTTTTATAAAAGAAATTAAAGATTGCCAGTTTTACTGGAAATAATTGAAACATTTAGGAGTTAGAAGGACACGCTAAAACTCCACTAAAGCAGAGATCAATAGCCCTGGCTTTAAATAATTAAATAAAGCTGAAATATGTCTGCTGAAAACAATGAATAACAATGAGACAGGAGAGGAGGTTAGCATGCCTAAAAACTTCTGCATGTTTAAGTATATTGGTTGGCCTAATAAAAGATATTGCCTCTTTGTAATGCCTTGCTTCTCTTGAGATACTTAAGCATTAATCCATACCTATAGGGAAAAGCAGTTCAAATTAAACATGAGCCATTAATGAAAATTGCATTCAGTGACCCAGTAACCTAATTACCATTCACATTGATTGGGAGAATCCCAGGGCTTAAAGTTGGTGTCATACTCGGGGTCCTTTTTCCCTCTTGCAGGACTCGCTGACCCTCCTATCCCCTCTTCCCACCCTGTGCCTCTAAAAGGTCTCAAGACATTATCCAGTCATTGCTACAGCCAAATTGAAACAGGAATCAAAGGAGAATTAATGGTGTGCCTGGGTGTGGTGAAAAGGCAGAGCTGGTGCTGTACAGGTAGTGATGTATTTTGCACATGAAGTGGTTAAGTAAAGTTTCTGCTATCATTCAGGATGCTTCAATGCAGACGTGCTACCTGAGGAGCTGTAGGTAGTCAAGGGCACAGGGACAAGGATTTATACAGGTGAGAAACCAGTAAACCCAGACTTTGCACATCAAAAAGCAACTGCACCAGCCTCTGGGAAGCACTGGACTTTATTTCCATTCATGCATGCACATTCTGTGTGGAGTATTTGCTGGCTGCTTTGTTACAGGGGAGAAAGCTCGGAGCAGAGCCTTCCCTTACCCCAGCATGCAGCACAGTCCCTAGGTCCAGCCTGGCTGTGCTAGAGCAAATTACTGGCCACTTTCTGGAGTAAATAGTCTTGTTTGTTGCTTATCTGCCTGGTACTGAGGGCAAACCACAGGCAAAGCGACCGGTGTGTTGTGGGTCACAGCATGGTGGTGCTCCCCAACAGGAACATCGCATCACCCAGCCTTCTGCAAACTGAGAGGGCGATGAAATATTTATGAGACTACTTTGGGTGGGAGCAGCTGTTTCATCTGACACTGGCACAATTTGTCAGTAGGAGACATAAAATATAATGCCAGATCAGGAGCTTAAAATTTATGCATACAAAATAATGCTTTTTAATGTATAAAATGTTAAGAAGGTCTATTTAAATACATATATTTTCCCAGGTTCCAAGCAGGCTGCAGATGTGAACAGCCTTTAAATAATTTGTGCAATGCACAGTAGCATCCTGGAGTCCCCATTAAATTTCACTGGGCAAGGCTCATAATCAAACAGTGTTTATGGGCTGCAGCAGCCTCAGACTAAAAGGCTTCATAAGTGTTGGTAGCAGCAGATCTTTTCCATATTGCAGCTTAGCCTCACTGTTTCCTGTGACATGGGAAGATACATCATATAATTCATGATGAACTATTGAAGTGGTGTTTAGTTGGCATTTCTCCTGCTCTGGTCTTTTTCTTCCTAATTTTGGGGAGCTTTGTCTGCCTGAGACCAGTGGTGGAGGAAAGGGAAGATGAAGGCAGTAAAGATGAAAGGAGGAATATGACAAGTTTTTTTCATTTGGTTTGGGGTATGTATAAGTTCATTGCCCCTTGATACCATATTTACCATGATTTCATTTACTAAACAGAAGATTAATTCAATTATTAACTAGGAATTTCACATTTGAAAAGCACTCCCTATTGTTGCAATTGTTTGATAGCTCAAAGTCAACTTAGATCTTGGAGTTGCCACATGGCTTTGTAGTATCAATTATTTGCCAATTATTTATGTTTGGGACAGAAGGAATCAGTTAGTGGAGAGAAAGCATCTCTCTAGTGTCTGCCAGTGATTAGACATTGTGGCTGTGCAGTCACTGTCAGAGACAGCCTCGAGGTCTGGGTAGCTTCAGAAACGCCTCTTCTGCTCCTGTAGCAATTAGCGTTGGTAATGTTCTTTGGGCTGTCACCACTGTGTTGCTGTGCTCAGAAGAGTAATCAAGTGAAAGGCTTTAATTTCATAACAAGTCAAGTGATCTTCAAAGTAGCTTTCAGAAATGGACTGTAAGTAAGATCTAGCAGGTAATAATTAGCTAAGAATGAAAACAAAGCAAAGGCAGTCTTTCACCACCATTTCTAAACAGCTGTCTTTATGTTGGTAGCAACACTAAAAATGAAAGGTAATATTTTAACTCTTAAAGCCAAAGATCTGACACTAAAATGGTGAAAAATTCAGTTATTTTATATTGTTTCTAAAAGCAAATGTGTTAAATACATGTGTTGGTGAACTAGAGACATGACTGAAATCTATTGTGCAATGAGATCATTATTGGTTTTATGTTGAAGATTAGCTTTGTTCAGTCATATGCAATTTTTTATTATGGAAATGTGGAATAATGCCCTTTTCTCCTCCACTCAAATAATTTCTCACAGCAGTCTCCTGTGTGCTTTATGAAGATAGCTGCAAAAATACAATTTGATAGATCACTTCCAATTCTTTCTGTTTTTTCATATTTCGTATAGTCCATGAAGAGCCCTCATAAATTTTTCATGCTTGCCCATAAAGATTTATTGTAAAAGAGAGACTCAGAACAGCCCTTTACTATTTCCAAGAAATCCAAGTGTAGAACTCATCGTTGATACAATATTTTAGAAATAATCAGTTTGTAATAGCTATTTTGTCACAGCAGGAGATACATTTTGTGTAAAGTTGGAGTTAAATCACTTAAGGCAAGAACGTAATGGAGTTGTTCCTAACAATCTTTATAGTGTTACAAAGGTAATCAAGTCATTTGTGTGTGTAGTGACCGCACATGCCATCAGATACCAACCACTGCTATCCAAGAGCACATATGTTGCATATGAAATTTCGGCTGTTGTATAGAAAACAGTTGGATTCAAGAACTCAATCCAGTTCTTGAGCATCGTCACAGGCCATACTGTACACCCCAAATTTCATCCATGGGGTCTGAGAATGATGTACGTGGGTTTGTTGGAGGTTTCCGTTTGTGTGTGTTACACAAAACACAGGTTCCTCCACATATAAATCCAGATTTCTCTTAGACCAGTTGGAGAAGATTTGTGTCACCAGTGTTTATGGTCCCAATATTTTACTGAGAGAGAGCATGCTAAATACCTGCTGTAAATCTGTAAGTCAGAAGACAAGGTTAGTAAGTGGGTTATGATTCTTCCCATTCCTCGACTATAAAATGTGAATTTTTTCATGCATTTATTTACAATTTTGTCATAAATATTCTGAATTATCTGAGGATATAATGGCAATCCTTTCATCTGTGAACTGCGCAATAAAATACAGATATTTATATTTTTACTTTTAACATGTCTTTTCTTTCTAGCATTTTGAGTTTCTCAAAACTGAGGCAAACAAGACCAAGGTGTTTTAGCAGAAAGACAGTTATCCATTCTCATGCTGGATGCATCTTAATTAAAAAAATAATGTATTACACCTTTTCTTCCATGTTTGCAATCATCCTTTCAAAACTTTAAACACTGCTTGGAGTGTTTAAAACCCTGCGGTCCTGATGGACTGTGATAATACTTGTATTTCAAAAGTGCCAGGCTGGCTTCAGAGCAGATGTCCTATAGCAACTTGTAGAGATTGGGATCGTTACTTTTCATCTTTATCATTCTTTCCCCTGCCTCCCCCAGCTTGATATAACCCCTTACAGGATGCATTCGGTCCTTTCCCTGAGGTCTTCTACCTTTATTTCATTTTTGCCATGAATAAGAAAATTATACTGGAAAAGCTGTGTTTTCATATGGCCCCATCATCCATTCAGATCTACCTTCTCATTTTTGTATCTCTTGATAATCCCTTGCTTGCAGCCTGCAGAGGAGCTCATTTGCATTCCTTAATTTAATTGACTTGCTTTTAGGAATAGAAGACATTGATGATTTTTTTTATCCAAACATATGCCTTTTATACTTCCAAATTTAACAGACTGTCAACACCAAGTGAAACGGAGGAGGGGGAGGAAATAAACAAAACCAAATCAAACCAGGAGGCATTAACAGCTCCTTTTTCTCCATGGGTTTTTACCGTGACTGGCCAGAGCTGCAGAGATGTCCCTCTTTTAGAAGCACCCCCATTCCTTTTGGAAGAACCTCCCTGCCAAAGAATTTAAAAGCTTTTTTCTTGCCAAAAACTTTTAAGTTATCGAAATTAGTTGCTCACTTTTGGAGATCCATTACCCACATAAACACAGTAATCTGAATTGTTTAATAGATGATAAATCATTTTGAGAAATATCTTTCATGCTTTTTCCAGTTTGCAGAGAAATTCCAAGAAGTAAAAGAAGCTGCCAAATTAGCAAGAGACAGATCTCAAGAGAAAATTGAGACCTCAAGCAATCATTCCCAGGTTTGTAATTTAGCTTTAATGCCTGTACGCATACAGGACAAATAATTTAAAGTTAAATTTTCTAAATGGACTATAACCAGCTTCTGGCAGCAAGCGTGAAGTTTATAAAATGGAGATTGCCAAAGGTAATTGTCAGCTGCTGGACATTAGGATTGTCACAGGAATATTTTTCATCCATCCATGCTCTTTGCCTTCATTAAAATCTAGTTTCTTTCAGCAATTCTTGTGCTGTTATAACTTATTTAATAACAGAGAAAGCCATACATCTTTTGGTTTGTACTGTTACACATAGTTTGGGTCACTGGAAAGTAAGTGAGTGTAGTGCTTCAGCAGACAGTAAATGAGATTGATCGAGATACTTCTTTTTGTCACCTAATCTACTTTTGTAGGAGTTTGGTTTGCCAATGGTGAGACTGACTTTTGTGGCCATAGTGTTTCATTGCCTAGGTGTGACTAATGGAAAGCTGTGGTGTGGGAACAGAGGCAGTGCTTTAGTGAGTAGTTGGAAGAAGCTTGTGTGGCGTATTTGTACAATGCAGTTTTCTAGACAGCACATCTTGATACAGCCAAGCGCCTCTTGTCTAGGGAGATCTGGGTTTCTTACAAATTGAAGAAATTGGGTGTTGTCCCAATCTGTCTGTATGTTTAACTTTTATTTCATAAACACTGCATTAGGCAAGAATGAATCCTGTTCAGTGGGTGTTCTTGGCCTGGGCTAATGTTTGGAGGAACGTTAGATGAATTTTGATCAGAAAGGAATTCAGATGCGTTATTCACATACAAGAGTGAACTAACCCTTTTTGTTGGGTTCACAAATATTAATCTGAGAGGCTACTTTGAATACTCATTTTTTTAAAGACTTTGGTTATAGCCTTTATGGTTCACCTTGTCCTTAGTTGGTGATCACCCCGCAGTGAATGAATGGTATCTCTATGGAGAAGCAGTGCCTTCGTTTTTTGTTTTTTGTTTGGACTTTGTGTGCTTCCAGATGCACTGTATTGTTTCATTATCTTAAAAAAAAACACCACAAGCCTTGTCATGAAAACACTTAAAAATATTTCAAACACTTTAAACTGCCATTTTGTATTAGCATTATATTTTTTTCATTTTTTTTTAAACAGATCAGCTTTGCAGCCAAGATGTAAAGGGTATGTGTTTGTTCTGCCAGGAGAGCATCTGCAGCCTAGGTCCCAGCAGGGTGGTGTGGGCACAAGATTACAAAGAAATTGATGTGGTGGGAGATGCAGGGGACACCCGGTATTCATTTGTGTGTTGTGCTGCAGGAATCTGGACGTGAAACACCATCTTCCACTCGAGCATCTAGTGTGAATGGGACAGACGATGAGAAGGCATCACATGGAGGTCCTGCTGAGGCACATCTCAAGTCTGAGAATGATAAATTAAAAATTGCTCTAGCCCAAAGGTGAGTTCCCTTAATACCTAAATTGCATTGGAATAGCATGCTGTAATTATCTGATGGCTAATGAGATTAACAGAAATTATTCAAATATAATTGCATTAATTTAAAATGATACAACAGAATGGATGAATGAGCAGATTTCAGCAAGTACCTCCCAGTATGCAGTTGAGAGATATTTACCATTTAGTCTTTTCCTGTTCTACTTCGTGATGAAATAAGATATCTTTTACTCTGCTGATGCCAGCTCTCAGAACCACCTTCATTTGTGAAGTTTTTGAGCTACAGAAATAACATTAAAACCATGGGGGAGCAATTGCTGCTGATAACATGTGAAACCAATCTCTCTTCCTCTTTGAGTCTGCTATATTTACTTTGATGAAAATAGATATGGATATGTAAAATTATAAAAGGGAATGAACTCAACTGGAAAAGTTGAAGTAAGAAATATAATTTCATCAGTCTGCTTAGAAGTCTTAGGGGAATGTTTCTAAAGCTGTGGACAGTGCCCCTTGAAGCCACATTTTTTGCTATTTGCTTTGATAAATTAATTTGAAAATGCTGAGAAGAGTAATTTGCAGCCATAGTGGAAACACAGGCATTGGAATATGCAAAGTTACAACATTAAAATAGAATAATTCTCTACTGGGATCTTGCCTTATCTGCCTCTTGCATGTGAATATATCTGTCAATGGAAATACAATCTATCAGGATCAGGCTACTCTTAAGCTATTTAAATTAAGGCACAGCACCGCAAGCAGCATTACCCATATATTATGCATATATGCTATCTGAAGCACACCATCTCTCTTTATTGACATTTCAATAGAGTAACCTATTTCAAATCATAACGTTTGTGCATTCCTCCTGCTGAAGACACCTCCACAGGCAAGTAGCAACTAGCATGGAGGGAGTTTCAAAGCCTTGCTTCCATTCACTCTCTATTCTTGTGCTCTATACTGCAGCTTGGAGCTTTGGGGAATGAGTAGTTTAATTCTTCAGCATTATCTAACACTTTTGTGTTTAAGGCTGAACATTAAAAAAAAAATCACATCTAGATGGTGTCAACCGCTGACATCTTCTGTTCTGAACTACTACATCAGCTGCAAATGTGTAGTTGCTTTGTTGCATGGGTACCACATCCCCAGGCCTGCAGTGCAGAGGTACTTGGTGAGGCACAGCCACATGGCTCTGGAGGTGGGCAGAACGTGTTTGCAATGGTGGAGATCCCAACTGTCAACCCTACAGCCTGCTTCAACAGCAGGACTTTTGCTCCTAACACACCGGTCACTGTTGCTGGCGTTAATAGATCCCTGTGTTTTGGCAGAGACAGTCAAATTAAGGCTTATGTTCTTCTCAGGCAGGCAATTACGTACATAGGAATATTCTTGATGTTATAACAAAAAATTATTGGTCAGCTCACACCAGTGGTGGGTGAGTTCGCAGTCAGGTAAAGAATAATGATGCACAGGTTTATCAGGTGAAGCCATCTGATGGTGCCCTGTTTTTCTCAGTTCAACCAACGTGAAGAAGTGGGAGACGGAGCTGCAGACACTGCGGGAGAGCAACGCCCGGCTGAGCACAGCGCTGCAGGAGTCCGCAGCCAGCATCGAGCACTGGAAGAAGCAGTTCTCAGCCTGCAAGGAGGAAAATGACCAGCTCAGGGGCAAGGTAACAGAGCATACCCACAGGAGAGCCATCTCTTCCAGTTAGCTGATCCTGCTGCTGCTCTTTCTCTTGAATCTCTGCTGCTTTGTGTGTTAGGAGACAGATTTTGTCTCGGAAAGAGAGGTGGGCAGGGGGGGTTTAAGGCAGCTGTTTCCCTCTGCACACAGTGGGCACGGAAGTTCGAAGGGCTGGGGATCAGTGGGAGGACTGGTGCTGCTGCGTTACATGAAGCTCCCTGACTCTGGAGTTCGAAGACTTAGTGTTAGCAGGGGTTGCTGGCCAGGGTGATAGAACAGTAGGGTTTTAAAAGTGAGAATACTATTGCATATCCCTTTCAAAACTCACTTAAATACTGCCAGATGATGAATGAGCAGAAGGTGTGGTTTATGGCCTGGTTGCCCATAGGAAACTAAGCTGGGAACAATACAGTATTAGAAACAAATCCTGACAGTGGGCAGGGGAATGAGGACATCAGTTATGTCTGTGAGCTGGGTCCTCCAGCACTAATGCTGGGCACATCAAGAGGCATCCTGGGGCAACCTTTTTGCAAGGCAGATACTCTCTACCTATTTGCATGTATTTTGGGTGTGCACAGTGATAATTCAGAGTCCAGTCCAGAGCTGTATTAACTGATGTTACATTACAAAATAGTATTAGTTGTAACATGGTTTGCGTTCCTATATCCAGTCTCTTTTGGTCAGGGGAGAAGTGAGAGACTGGAACAGAATGTTGTAAGAAAAGACGATTTATTGCAGTGTAGTTTTTTAGTTTTCTGTACTGTTGCACAGAAAAGTTGTTCTCATTAACATTAGCTGATGAAACATGCCACGTCTCAGTAGCTGTAGCCTACATATGAAAAGATTATCAAAACCCTGCCTTACTACGGCTGCAAAGTCATCATACCAGTGACTAGCCAGGCTGTGCAGCAACGCTGTCTGTGTAATGTTCTGTCTTTCTCTACATGAGAGGTTTTCTGAGCTTTACTCCCAAGTAGGCTCCTTGCTTGGCGCTCGTGCTGCACCACTGCAGTGCCCTGGGAAGTTCCATCTCCTTTATTAATTGGGTCAGAATTTTTTGCATATTGCTCTACCTTCAAATAAAGGAAGTTATAATCCCAAAGCAACATGAAGCTGAGAATTAAAGTGCGTACTTTAATGAGCTGGCCCATCTCCTGAGGGTGAAGCCCAGAGCTGGTAGCAGAACGTATGGAGAGAGCAAAGCACATCTCCGGGCAAGAGAACAAAGTGGCATACGTTGCTCTGGATTGGTTCTCTCCCCAAAGTTTTGATGATGTGTCTGTCCCTTGAACTCCAGCTAGAATAATAAGCAACCCCTGAGGAGGCAAAGCTGGGAGCACCAGAGAGATTTCTTCTCCTTGCTGTGTTAAGAAAGCCCATCCCTTATAGTCTTGTGTTGGTTTCGCAGAAGTGAAATGCAGATTTTATCCCCAGCTCCGCTTATTTTAGCAGCTCAGTGTTTTGTGCATTCCTGAGTACTTATATGAGATACTGTGCACGAGAGAATAAACACAGTCCCGGGGCTTCCTAGTGGAAGCGCAAATTGGCTCTTTTTAAGGAAAGAAGCGATAGTTTGAGTGCAGTGAGTCAAGTGCTATGATTTAGGAAACAGATCCATGACAAATTAAAATTGCCCATGCTTCCCTCTGTTCACTGGAGCAGTGCCCATTTCCATCAGCTGGGTTCTGCCCCAGATTCTCAGAAATCTGAAAAGTTTCACCTAATGTCTGACATTTCTTAAAGATTGAAGAACTGGAGGAACAGTGTAATGAAATAAATAAAGAGAAGGAAAGAAATGCACAGCTGAGTAGACGTCTCCAGGAACTGGAAACAGAACTTCAGGACAAAGAGCTGGTAAGTGCCCTGAACCCAGATATTACATGCTTTAGAGTTTGATTGGGTCTGTCTGCTTCTGACTTGGAATGTAGATTTATGGGCTGGCTCACCTACAGCCAGAAGCAGCCCAATGTCTCCGGGTGTTGCCTGTTCCTAGTTTTTTCATGTACAGCTCCTTAGCAACAGTTTGATAGAGTCCCTCAGTCTCAGTTTCATGACGTATTTTGTGCTGTGACAGCACGCTTTAATTTGGCAGGGGTTAACAAACATGATACTTTCATATACAACATTTTACCTCTAACAGAAGAGCTCAAGTGGTGATACTTGTTGCCCAAAGCCAGACAGATGTATGCAGAGAACAGTTTTGTTTGCCAGTCCCCATCCCAGAATTCACATAGACATCAGCACCATCATTAAAAATACATCATTTACAAAATCATATGGCATTTGTGTAACAAGTCCTGTTTATTTTCCAGATGGCTGGTAGTCTTCAGCTTTGCCATTTTACAGTGTCCCTCTGATCTCAGGACTAATGCCAAAAGTGAGAAATTCAGATTCATTTGGAGTACCCTGGTTTGTCCTTTTGACATACAGGGTGTCCATTTTTCTAAGGAGAATGATACTGATGGCTTCAAGCCCCTGAACAGTGGTGAAAATAATGGGATCCTTGTTTTTTTCCTTCATTACAGTGACCAAATGCTCTGTGCTAGATGAAGAGAAAAAGCTTCCCAGCAGGTGCAATAAAGTTTGCCATGTGCCATTGCAGCATCTCTGCTGGTGCTCTTAAAAGCAGTGCTGTTAAGGGGTTTTAAGATAGCACAAGGAAATAGTTTAGGGAGACGGATTTTGATGAAGATTATGAATATAATCTTTTTCAGCCCCATATTTCAAAGGAAAATATTGTGCTTTCTTCCCAACCTTTCTGTGGTAATAGCATGTATAATAACCCTTATATTCTGCTAGTGTTTTCTTCAAGGTTCACATTTTTACAGTACCAAATGAACCAGAAAATTGATTGACTTGTGAACATCGCGTACCTACCTTCCATTTACACTGGCAGTATACCAACTTGTTTTCAGACTGCATACTCACATTAGCAGGTGCTTCATTAGGTCTACACCACCCATATGTAACCTTTTTCATGGTCTGCAATTCAAACCAGCATGAAGCCTGCTCATAGACATTGCCATGCAAGAGGAGCTACTGATATCCTCTTCGTGTAGGAAATGCAGAGAGAAAAATGTAAAGACATGGGAATCAGGACAGAGCTACCTAGTGGAGTATTTATATTTATATATGTGTATATATATGTGCGTGTATATATATATGTATATATCATGTGCCATATCCTATATATAGTGTGTCTATATATACACACAGTAATATACTATATATAGTAAGTATTACAGTATAGTAGTTATATATGTAGTAAGCATATATAGTAGAATATAATTATATTTTGAGATGTAAGCTCCGTGGCATTATTTGTGAATATACATATATACGTGCATGGTAGTGGGCACAACTGAAACACAGGAAATTCCAGCTGAATATGAGGAAGAACTTTTTAACTTTGAAGGTGGCAGAGCACTGGAACAGGCTGCCCACAGAGGTTGTGGAGTCTCCTTCCCTGGAGATATTAACAACCTGCCTGGACATGATCCTGTGCAGCCTGCTCCAGATGACCCTGCATTAGCATAGAGGTTGGACTAGATGATCTCCAGAGGTCCCTTCCAACCCCAACCATTCTGTGATTAAATGATGTGTTTTGGAATGCAGACATTCTATTTTGATTATTTTACATCCACATACTTTGCAGAATACAATAGAATATGCAAAACCATTTCATAGTCCCAAATTTCCATTATGTTTTAAATTGAAGCTTGCACTAATGTATTTTTTTTTCTTTATGCTTTCAAAGGAACTGGAAGAGCTTCGAAAGCAGGGTGAAATTATACCACAGCTAATGTCAGAATGTGAATCTGTATCTCAACAATTACAGGTACAGTTAAGCAATTAAATTAATTTTCAAATAGTTGATACATTTATTTTTTCATAAATAAATGCTTTTATCTGTTCAGACCTCAGTGTTTGGAGGCAAAAGAGCTCTAGTTTGTAAAATGTTAATTACATGCAACATATACCATGCCCTTCTCAGCACAGGAGTAAGTAAATAGCTCCATTTCTTTGCCTTGCCGTCTGCAGAAATTGGTTTGCCTGGGATTGTGCTGCCTGTATCTCCTGCGGATTCCAGGCTATCCTGTATCCCATATTTCTGCTGGCCTGGGCTTGTGGAACCGTACCACAGCCATGTGTGTGTGTCGAGCAACGCACCAAGACCTGCGGCTAATTGCCGCAGTGGCACCAGGGAAGGCGTTTTGGAAAGAAATGGATGAGCATGGTTGCACATAACCAGGGAAAGGAGTTCACCTGAGGATGCATTTACATGCTGTGTCATTCCTTGCCAGCATCAACTAGCTCGCTGTGGCTTTGTTTTGCACAAGTAGCTGGTCTGCCGGGGGGTGCTCAGGCAGACTGGAGCTCACTGGGCTGCTGGAGCCCTATCCAGGCAGTGGCTGGGCTTTGGGCATCACTTGTTAAAGTCAGGGCTTGTGCAAATGCAATAAATCAATAAATGAAAGGAGAGCAGATGTAAGCAGTATCTCATCAATGATGTAAAATCCAATCAAATAAGCCATAATTCTGATAATCTAAAATCATTTAGAAGGCTGCTGAGGAGTGCAGATACTGATATTGTAAAAACACGAATTTCGTTTGGTTCAGGGTGGTAAAGTATGTCATCTGTGGCTTTTGATGAGAATATGTGCTTACATGTATGCAATAGAGAACAATAGGCAGAAGAGCTAATGAGAGGGGAAAATAATTGAATGAACCGCAGCAAGGGAGGTGTTACATGGGGGCCCTGTTCCTTGCACTAGTGCTCACAGGGAGTTGAGCTTTAAAAAACACCAATAAATCCAAAGGTGCTGAATAAAGCAATATTATTCCTCAGACAGTATTTTCTAAGCTTGTTTTCCAGTGTTAAACCACCATAGATAATACTGTATATAATTGGTGGCACAGTGTCTAATACTGCAACTGTAGCTATGACAGAAATATATGCACAGTGCATGACTTAAATCCAGCTGAATTTTAAGATATCCACCAAGTGACAAAATCTGATGCAAAGCATCTTTTCCAGTTAATATGTGTCCTTTCCTGCGTGGGCTTTCTTTCCTTTTCATCTGACTAGCACACCACTTGCTCTTGTTAATCAGTTTGCAGAAGTCAAAGCAAAACTTTTACAGCCCAGCTGTCATTTATTGCTTTACCCTACTAAATGCTGTTCATCCTTCTTCTCTATGATTCATCTTATTGTCTCTTTTGTCTTTAAGGCTGCTGAGAAAAAGAACAAAGATCTTGAAGAGAAAGTCAGAACGCTAAGGACAGAAGTGGAAGAGAGCAAACATAGGCAGACCAACCTTAAAACTGAATTAAAGAATTTTTTAGATGTACTAGATGGGAAGATAGATGAATTACAAGATTTCCGACAAGGACTGTCTAAACTTGGGGTTGACAATTAGATGGCAATAGAATTTTTTTTGTAATCTAGGGTCTGGATGTTTGATGTTTTGTTGATCCCAAATGTGTGTTTTACAAAATATAACTAGAATGTTCCACTTGTTTGCATTGGTTTTGTACATAGAGGCTGCGAATTTGCTGTGGGGGGTTTGGGATTATTTCTTTCATCTGTTTATTTTTCAAACCAATCATGCTGCTCACTGAATTTTGTTGAGATTAGAAACTTCATATATTGCTGCTCTGGTTTCGTGGGGTTGGGAACAGGTAGAGGGTTCTGTCTCAGGAATCTGGAACTAGATCTACCTTAAAATGAATATGCAGTTAGTTGTTGCAGGGAAATTTATATCTTTCTTAAGGGCTGTTGCAACCATAGAAACAGAAAACTAGTCTTTTTCTTGTCCGGACTATCGGCAATCCTACAACATCAACTTTTATTCCTTGGTGGAGCAGACAGAAGATTAGAGATTAGCTGGAACTCCTGCAGTGTGTAAAATGTGCCTGTGATGAGCTTCAGTCAAGTGAATCACTTCACATAGATATCAGTATCTTTAGGGACCATGTCAATCAGGCCTGATTCACCAAAAAATAAATCCAGTGGATATCAGATGAACTCCGATACAGGTTGCATGTGCTTGCCTGGACCCATACAGCACAAAGTCAATGACATAGAAATGTATTTCAGCTCTTCAAGTCAAGCATCTTACTCTGTAGGTGAGGACAGCTTCTCTTGCTTGGCAAGGCCATCTCTCCTTGGCCTTCAGTTTTGAACCCATATAGTTCCATCATTATGTGCATCTGTAAAAAATGCCCACCTGAGTCTTGGGACCAGATATGTATTTTAGAAAGTGATATGTTGCTGGCTTCCACACAGGGTGCATGCACCTCTGTGCAACTTGATCACTGTTGATTAACTTCTGCAGTAGTGAAGGGGACATTGATCTGAAAAGCAATACAAGGTTTCTTGAAGATGATGCTCAGAAGCACGTTTCTGCCCAGGAGTCTGGCAGGGTCATGACCACGTGAAATCAAAATCCTTTCCAATGATTTCTGCATTCTCACCTTGCGTGTCTTTGACAGTAGGGTGGGAACTGGTCACAAAGGTAGACTGTCCAAAAAAACCCCAACCCAAACAGCAGAAATGCTGTCGTATGCTCAAACCGGTTATTCAGCAGCTCTAAGCATGTGTTGAGAAATGCAAGGTTGTACACTGGGCTCCAGTGAGAAGGAAGTCCACTTTGTCACAGACAGGGATGTAAAAACGGCCAGAGAGGAGAATTCAGACCAAGTTTTGCCCTTGCCCCTATGACTGCTTTCAGCTTCTTTCTCTTCTTTCTCCATAACATGGTTTGAGAATCTTTTTACATGGGATCTGAATTAATTCAGAAGAGAACTTTTGTTTATGTGACATTATTGTTTGCTTAATTCAGGTGAAAGCTGAGTTAAGCACAGTGTTAGTGCATTACAGCAGTGATTGCTAAAAAATGGTCATGCTTTACTTAGGGGCTTTTTTGTTTTCTCAGCACATCTCAATTATAAAAGTGACCTTTAAAAGAAAGGTGAGTTATTATGAAACATGCATTGAATATCTTTTACACATGGATATATAATCCCCGTGCTGGAGATAGGTTCTGTCTGCAACTGTCCCTTGAATTTTTATCTGTTACCGTTGCATTACCTTCGATCCCTGGTTTTTAGACTGGACTACTTTGTGCATTTTTGCTTTTACTCCTTTTAAACAATGATGTGAAGCCAGGACCTTGCAGAAGCATTGTGACCTCTTTAAAAAAAAGTGTTGTAGGCTCTTGATATTTAAAAATAAAAATACAAATAAAAACACAAATAAAAACCAGGTCCATAGCATGGAGGCGTGTGAAAATTAGACTTTGCCAGTAGGGAAGAGTCAGCAGTTGCATAATGTGGGGTTAGATCAGACTGCTCAAAACTGAAAATGACGTCAGAAACTCTGTGTGGTTGTGCACAAGTAGTCTGCATTTTTAGGGTTTTTATTTTATAGCAAGTCAGATAAACACCATAATTTCACAGGAAGTTAATGGTCCTGCTTCTCCTCTCCTTCCATGCTGCTTTAGAGTTCCTGAACTGCAGCTGATCCCTGCATCACTTGGGAATCACAGGATAACACAACTAAGAGCTGCAGTACAGCCAGTCAGGGGCCTCCTCGTCAACAGTGGTTTATTGCTTTTGCACTGAGGACCCTGCTCCATCTTCTGGCTCCTTTTTCTTGTTGAGCAGTCTTCGGGCTTCCTTCCTGGTTTTAACACAAAATATGATTTTTAACAGGAACCTGGGTAGATGGAGTTAATCTTGATTTTTTTTCTACTTTAGCTGGGTCTATCTCAGATCCAGTTCGTTATGAATGTATTAAGCCGCTCTTAAAATGCAAGAAAAGTGTTTCTATGGGACTGCATCGATTTAACAGATGGAGCTTAATGCTGGTGCATTAAACCAGTGCATAGCTCTGACATGGGTGGTTATTTCTGGGTGCTTCGTGCCCACCAGAAGAACGGTGGGGGTGTCCTTAGAGAAATCTCTACCCTGTCTCTTCGAGTTTTGTCCCAAATGTATGTTTTCCTTATCTGCTACTGCTCTGAAACTGAGTTGTTTGTTAAGGAAACTGAGTTGTTTGTTAAGGAAACTGAGTTGTTTGTTAAGGAAACCGAGTTGTTTGCTAAGGAAACTGAGTTGTTTGTTAAGGAAACCGAGTTGTTTGTTAAGGATAGAGCTATATGCTGTGAGAAACTCCACCATCCAAGGTCTTGCTATAATTACCTTCTTTCTCTCTTTTTCCTTCCCAACAGCAGTAAGTTGAGAGCTTCTATGTATAATCACTTTAAAACCTCCCCCAAACTCCATCTCTTTTAACCTTTCTGCCTCTTTCACTGTACTTTTCCAAAGTGTGCTAGGAAGAGGCAGTGGGTGCTCTCAGAAGTGTTTGTTTGGATGCCAGCCTGGCCTCATTCCTGCCCCAGATAGGAGCCCCATGTGCCTGCTGGGTGGGGACCACTGGTCTCACTGCTTATTCCTTGATGCTCTGTGGTGGCTCAGCAATAACCCCTGTGTGTCATACTGTGACCTCCACTCCTCAGGGACTCATCCCAATGTTGAAATGCCTCCTCCTTCCCAGTGGGAACACCAAGGCAGCCAGTTTCCCCCACCAAAATGCCTGCACCGTCCTACGGATGCATTTATTCTTCTTTTTGTGCTCACTGGGGATTCAGCCCATCCCCGTGGGCACCCCAAACCAGGAGCTGCACTCAGCTGGCAGCCACCTGCTTAGGGATGGCCCCAAACCCTGGTTTCCCCATGCCATCAGCAATGAAGTAGGTCATCGCTCCATTTCCATTGAGCCTGAGTGGAGGTGTCTTTATACAAGGTGTATCTCAGCTTGGGCAATCAGTCATGGGTTGTCTTTCTGGACACAGTTTTTTCCCTCTGCGTGGTTGATGGCAGGGTCTATCCTACCTCAGTTACATGGTCTTTTGTTAATAAGGGTCTTGTGCTTGGCACTTCCCATGCTGATACCTGTCAGCTGCAGCACCGCAGATCCCACCTCACTGCCCATCCTGCCTGCCCGGCCCCAGTGCCAGCAACAAGCTGGTGGCTCTAGCAAGAGAAATCTGTGCTGGCCTCTTCTGACACTGAGTTAGAGAGTGTCTTAGTGCCTTCCAGGCTTACCAATGCGATGTTCCTTTGAGCTGGTGTTAGAGCTGCTGAATAATGGTGGGGTGGTGGTTTTTTGGTGGCCAAAAAGAGAAACAAACAGGTCTACTTTGTATTAGCATAAAGCCTAAAAATATTCAGTGACATAAAAATACAGGGACATAATTGTTTCTAAGGGAAAGAATGTTCTGTTAGATCTGTTATTTCACATTTTGGAAAATGACCTTAGTCTCATCTTTGAATAAATTATTTCCAAATTAAAAACTGAGACATTTTTTCACACCCCAGAATAAAGGAGGTTAACCTTCTGCTCTTTCTCTGCTTGGCTGGATCTTTATTTGCTGATTTTGACTCAACTTCACAAATAGTTTTTTATTTGGTTTAAAAGTGCATTTTCAGCAAAATTAGTACTTTTCAGTGTTCTGTCTACATCTAATTGGTGTCTCCTTTACTGAGTGAGCTCACTGGAAGGAAACTGTCCCTTCTGTAAGAATTCCAGTGCCACCTCTCACTTTCTATATTCTAGCATTCGAAAGATGCCTTTTTAAAGATAGATTTACACTGGGTGCATCCGTGCCCAGAAACAAATGTTATTTAGACAATGCTTGTTTTCCAGACAACACCTGATTTTATTTTAATGTGAGTGATTTAGGGTGAATGCTTTTTAAAGCTGTTCAATGAATTAAGAAGGGCAGGAGTGGCTTTTGCTGTTCCCCCTTGCTCTCCCTGCCACTGCCATTGCTTTGGAGGAGCATCAGCAAAAGCATTTGCGGTGTTAAAGCAGGTGCTTACTCTATGCTCATCCTATGGCTTGTTGGGCTCAGGGACCCCATGTCTCCCTCTCAACAGTTGTCTGTAGGTTTCTGCACTCTATGCTGTGTAACTTTTATTTTTCAAGTGTTCATTTTCTCCCTTATTAGTTTCTTGCCACCTTTGGCTGCTTCATGAATGACAGGAGAAATGACTGGTGGGAGTTTCTCAGCTACAAGACTGCTCTTCATTACGCTCTTCCGAATGTTTATCTCTGCAAAACCCTTCAAAGCATCAGTGGCTTGTAAGGAATATAGTGCTGTCTTCCTGAGCCTACGGGTTAACAGAGATAAAACTGCTATCAGGGTGAAATGCCTGGCTCAGCTCAGCGTGTGAGTGGTGCTGAATCTGAAGGGAAGAGGTATAAGGGAGGGATCAGCAGCAGCAGCAGCAAATTTTGACAGTTGTTTCAGCAGAAGCTTCAGTGAAAGATGTGCTCTGCCTACGAGCTGTGGATGTGCCAAAGGTCTAGGATGGCCACGCTGACCTGTCAGCTCACCCGTCTTTGTCTGGGCAGTTCTGGGCTTGTCAAGCCTGTCTATCAAAAAGTCCTCAGTATATCACAAACGTGGCAGTGTGAGGGATGGAAAGTGAATGCCCACACACAGAG